ACTTGAGGCTGCAGATCACCAAGCTTATTTGTCACACTCCATGCATTTAGACACATGCACTCCAAGACCTACTTAGTTTGTTCTGCATTTCTCCCCCATCTAATCCCTCCTTTTTCTGGATTACTCCTTATTACATTGCTATTCATCTCTCCCAGCCCTCTATGTAATGTGTTTGTCCTCTCTAATGCTACATCCTGATTCCCTTCCCCCCTCAAAATTAGTTTAATCCCTTTCCCACAGCACTAGTTAACCTCCCTGTGAGGACATTGGTCCCAGACCTGTTCAGGTGTAACCCATCCACCTTGTACAGGTATCACCTGCCCCAGAACTGGTCCCAATGATCCAGGACCCTGAAGCCCTCCTTTCTGCTACATTTCTCCAGCCATGCATTCACATAGTTGATCTGCTATTTTGATACTCACTTGCACAAGGCACTGGGAGTAATCCAGAGATCACCACCTTTGAGGTCCTACTCTAGCTTTTTCCCTAGCTTCTGACACTCTCCCTGTAGGATCTCAGCCCTTTTTTCCCTACGTCATGGATCCCAACATGGACCATGACTTCTGGATGTTCCCCTTCCCCCTGTAGAACATTTTGCACCCGTTCCATGATGTCTTCAACCCTGGCACCTGGGAGGCAACATACCTTGTGAGAGTCACGTCTTTAGTGCAGAAACATGTTTACTCCTTTCACCATTGTGTCCCCAATGACAATTGCACTGACACTCTTCCCTGTGCATCCATTTGCTTTTGGCTCCCCTCCCCAGAGGTGTCATCACCCTGACCGGTATTCAGTACAGAGAACTGGTTTGTGAGTGCCACACTCTCAGGGGATTTCTGTACTGCCCCTCCCCTCTTCCTACCATGCCAAGTGGTCACCCACTCACTTTCCTTCTGAACCCTCTGTGGCTGTGGGGTGACCACCTCCTGAAACGTTCGATCCATGAACTCTTCAACCTCCCGTAGGCTACAGCCTCTCCTCAAGCTCAGAGCTCAAGCAACCAGAGGCACTTTCTAAACTGCTAATTGGCTTGTTTGGCTGCTTCATATAAGGTTGCCTCTACCTCAAGATACATTTTCCACTCTTCTGCTGAATGAAAGAGTTCTCTCTCACTCTCTGGTCTCTCTCTGGTCGCTCTCTCGTTCTCTGGTCGCTCTCTCACTCTCTGGTCTCTCTCTGGTCACTCTCTCGCTCTCTGGTCGCTCTCTCGCTCTCTGGTCGTTCTCTCGCTCCTCTCTGGTCGTTCTCTTGCTGGTCTCTCGCTCGCTCTCTGGTCGCTCTCTGGTCACCTCAGCACCTCAGGCTCTGGCAGCATCAACCTCCATGGTTGCACACTACAACTCACCAGCCGTTCAGGAACCCGGGTGTCTTGTTCGACCCTTAACTATCTTTTCTTCCCCACATCCAAGCCATGACCCGCTCTGCCTTCCCTCACCTCCGTAACATCGCCCAACTCCGCCACTACCTCACCCCTCAGGCCGCTGAAACTCTTGTTCATGCCTTCATCACCTCCAGGCTCGACTATGCAAACGCCCTGCGTGTCGGCCTTCCCAACTCCTCCCTCCACAGGCTGCAGATAATCCAGAACTCTGCAGTCCATGTCCTCTCCTGCAACAAAATCCGTGACCCCATCTCCCCCATTCTCGCCCAATTCCATTGGGTCCCTATGCTTCAGAGGATCCAGCTCAAGATCCTGGTCCTCACCTACAAAGCCTTCCATGGCCTCGCCCCACCCACCTCTGCGACCTCTTAACCCCCTACCAACCCGCCTGCTCCCTCTGTTCAGCCGGCTCCGGCTGCTCCACGTCCCCCGACCCACCATTGTTGGGAGAGCCTTCAGCCACTCTGCCCCCAACCTCTGGAATTCCATTCTCCAGTTATTCCGCCTCGTCCCCTCCTTAGCCTCCTTCAAGTCCCGCCTCAAGACCCTCCTCTTCAACCATGCCATTGGCTACTTCCCTTCCCCTCCCCTCCCTTCTCCCCACCCCGACCCCAGCTTGGGTCTGAAATGCTGGGACCTCTTCCCAACGTGAAAGGTGCTATACAAATATAATCTTGTTGTTGTTGTTGGTTGCTTTCTCGCTCTCTGGTCGCTCTCTTGCTGAAGAATTCCCATTCTGACCAAATTCCCTAACCGGATTCTCACTCTGTTCCACCTCACTCAGTTCCCTCCTCACGCTGTTGGGTTCTCCCCTCCCACTGCTCAGCACTCTGATACACTATTGTATATCTCCATCACCCAGCTCCCAGCAATTTAATTACTAGATGTCTAATACAACTCAAATGTCCAAAATACTGTGACCACCTACTGTTCTCCCATTATGGTATCAAGATGTTTATTTAACACGCCCACTCTCCCGGCCACTACCAATCTTCTTGTAACCATTCCAGCTGTTCATTCCCCTCTGTGGACAGAAATTATTTCCTGTCTATCCTGAAATTGCCATTCAACCCCTGAACTGCCCCTTTGCCCTGCTGACTTGCTGTATCTGAAGGGATTGTTCTGGGCTTAATTTCTCAATCCCATTTATCCTCCTATCTCACCAGTTCTGGCCCAGGCTCTTTTGGCTCCCCATTATCGAATGGATCAACTTCAAGATCCTCTCATTTGTGTTCAAATCCCTTCACTCTCTGGCACCTTCCTGCCCCTCTGACCTCCTCACTCCCCAATCTACTACCCGGCGCCTCCGCTCGACTGGCACCATCCTTCTGCTTGCCCCTCGCACCATTGGAAGTCATGCTTTAAGCCACTATACCCCAAAACTCTGCATCACTCTCCTACAATCCCTCCACCTTGTCCCCTTCTCTCCCCCTTTTCAAGTCCCACCTGAAGATGTTCCTCTTCAATCGTGCTTACGGCCCCCTTCCCCCCACCAGCTCGGAGTCAGACTCCGCCACTTTTAAGCGGTCTGAGACGCTCTCTTGCGTGAGAGCCCTATATAAGTGCAAGTTGTTGTTGTCTTATATACCTCTATAGAATCCTACTTGAGCTGTCTTTTTCTTGAGGTTGAAGAGCCATATCTTATCTAATCCTTCTCCTGTTGTCCTGGCCAACAAGTTTTCAGATAAATTGATAATTCACTTCATGGCTGTTTGTGGGATTTTGCTATATGCAAATTATCTATTTCATTTGCCCACAAATTCACAACAAGAGCAATAATAATCCTTAAAATTTGATGTGTACCTTTCACATTGGGGGGATTCGAGAGGATATATTGTAGTGACCGTAATACACTGTATTATGTAGTCGCCACTGGATAACGATTCCTTGTGAAGCTTTTATACAATTCTTTATGTGAAAAAAATATTTCCTAGTCCCTGCCCTAAAATTGCCTTTGCTACACTGAACCTGTGGCCTTGTGTTCTGCTGCCTCAGTGGATCTGAAAGCATTATTTTCAGTTTACTTTCTCAATCCCATTTTGAATCTTCTAGGTCTCCTCTGAGTCTCTTTTCCTAGTCGAGGAATTCCAAGCTTATCTAGATACCATACCATCTCCGTACCATCTCTATCTTGCTCATAGCTTCTTTCTCCAACACAGCTAATTACTGCTGCCACCAATCCCCCAAAAAAATTGTTTATTCACTTCATGGCTGTTTGTGGGACATTGTTATTTGCAAATCCGCTACCATAATTGTCTATAAATAACAGTCATTGTACTTTATATTTAATCCTGTGAGATATCCCCTCAGCAGGAAAGGCACTTTATTCTTGTTCTGTGTAATTTATGTCAAAATTCTATCATAAAAAAGGCCCCTTCTCCCCCTCTCCTGCAGCATGGTCCATGCCAACTGGCTGGCAAACCCCTGGTAAAGTCACTGAATAATAATAATGCATCACAGCACCTCTCATGTCAGGAAGATGTCTCAAAGCACTTGACAGGATTTACTGTAAAGTGTAGTGACTGTCTGTTTTGTAGGAGAATTACCAGTGCTGCACTCAACAACAAGAAAACCTGCATAGCATCTCAGAGCATTGATAATGTCTCCTCCGGCCACACATTGTACAGTCTATTCACGCTCTCACCCCATCTAACTCTCACCTCGCAGTTCCAGACCTCTTTCATAAATAACACCAAAACAGAACAATACCAGCACAGACTGGGTAAATAATAATAATAATAATCCTTGCATTTGATGTAGCGCCTTATCACGTCATTGAGATGTCTCAAAGCGCTTCACAGGCTATACTGTAAAGCGACTGTGTATTTTGTGGGCAAAACGCAGTAGCCAGTAAATGCACAGCAGTCCCGCTGAAGTCACACAGTCTTCTTCACACTGTGATTTACATCAGTAATTAGTGGTATTGTACCCTTTATGCCCAAGTCCAGTTTGTTTATGTCAATGGGGAAGCAACACTATATAGCTGTGGTCTGACAAACATCCATTTCTCCTTTAGCCAATCCTATCTCCATGCCAGTGGGTAGAGGTCCCAGGGCAGACTTGCTTGCTTCTATGCTGTAACGCTCTGTGATACCATGATACCCACAACCTGCATCCTCAAGAAGGTAAGCCATGCAACACTTCTGTTCCTGTCAGGCCCATCCACCCCCACCCTCCCTGTGGAGCAGCTCAGGCAGAGACTTCTCATTCCCTACACATACTAGCTGCATCTCTATACCGACCTGTCCACTCCCTCCGCTCAGCGGACTCTGCTCCATGCTCCCCTGCCCAGCCCGCACCACCATCAATGGTTGGGCCTTCAGCCATTCTGTCTCCACCATTTGGAACTCCATCCCTCCAGTCCAATTACCTCACCCCATGCCTTGCCTCCTTTAAGGCCCAGCTCAAGACCGTGCCTTCAGCCACCCTCCTACCCCCTACCCTTCCTGTACTACACCTCTCCTGATCCCAACATCCTGCTCGGGTGCAAATTGCTGACTATCAATTGCCTTGGGATGTCTTCCCAATGCGAAAGGTGCTGTGTAAATGTAATTTGTTGTTGTTGTTGCTGTTACCTGCTTACTTCTGCAGTGCCCTCTCCTCTACACCAGGCACTTACCAATTTGAAATTCAGGTTGTTGGTGTCGTCCTCTGGAAGTGGCAGGAAGATAGCCAGTGCCACGCAGTTGGCAAAGATGGTGATGAGGATGATGATTTCAAACGGCCTACGAAACAAATTAAGGACATAAAACTGGCATTACGAGGTAGGGGGAAAGGTTTGATATTCGCATGGGGTGAGCCAGTGATGGCACAGCAGAGAGTGTGACCAATAAGGTTGCAGAAGATCACAGAGACAAGTTAGGGCCATGGAGGCTTGAAAATAAGGAAGAGGATCTTATAATCGGCCAGCTGGGAGGATGGGGAGCCAGTGGAGTTGAGTGAGGATGGGAATGATGGGCTCTCAAACCCCAGGAAGGGAGAAAACTTGGACTGCAGGATAATGGATGCTATGAAGCTAGTAGAGCTGGGGAGGCCAAAGAGCAGGGCATTGGAATGGTTGAGTATGGAGGTGACAAAGGCGTTGGTGAGGGTTTGGGCTGAGTTGGGTCTGAGGTAGTGTCAGGGTTGGATACGGTGGTGGAGATGAAAGAAAGTGACATTGGTCTGGGAGTGGATGAAAGATTTAGGAATGGTGGAAGTTGAACCAAATGCTGAGGTTCTGCACATACTCTGTCAGTTGGACTGAACAACCAGGGAAGTCACTGCATCTGAGTCTCAGGTGAGGTTACATTGGCATTGGTGTAAGACTGGCACTGGAAGATGGACAGATAGAGTATGGGAGGGAGGGTGTGTGTTTGTGTATGTATATGTATGTATGTGTATATGTGTATGTATATATGTGTGTATATATGTGTGGGTGGTGGTGTGGGGTGGGGGGGGGGGGGAAGAATTGTACAAAGGGAGTTTTCACCTTTGAGAATTGTCTCTCTCTCTTATTTCTCCCTCTTCTCTCTGATTGTCATTGCCTGCCTGGCTGATTTCTCAGTTTGCTTCAATAGTTTTTCATTTCCTCTGATTTCTCATTTTCTTCACTGATTGCTTCCTCACATTGATTTCTCTTTCTTTCTGTGAATTCGCATTGTCTCACACTGATTTCTCATTTTCTCACACTGATGTCTCTCTCTCTCTCGCTCTGGTTTCTCATTCTCTTGCACTAATTTCTCTCTCACGTTGATTTTTCTTTCTTTAACTTCTTATTTCTCCCACGGACTTCACATTCTCTCAAACTAATTTATCTTTCTCGTTGCCTGAATTAAGAACATAAGAAATGCTTGGCGACAAAAGATCATCTAGTTTGAGTTCCACCTTCCCGGCGGTCGCATGCACGTATGTCCTGAACTACTTATGTACTATATCCCATAATGGTATTTATAATTCTCATTCTCTCACACTGACTTCTCTCTTTCATCTGAATTCTCATTTTCTCACACTGATTTCTCTCTCTCTCTCTCTGACCACAGGGTAAAGGATATTTCCATTCCACGATGTTGATGCACGTTTTCCTGACCGGGCTCTGGAGGTTGAGGCAGAAGAGGGATCTGGCAGGTCTTGGGAGGGCTGGAGTCACAGGTTTTTTGGGTTTCTTGCTGTCTTGCCGTTTCTTCAGTGAGGGATCAGCATTGTCCACCGCGTTGGGTTCCATCTTTCCTCCAATCCAGCTCTGCCTTCCTCAGCCCCGGTCCGAGCAAGCTCCCGAGCTCCGGCACAGCCCCAGACGATCTGCTGAGCTTCGCTTCTCCCTGTCCAAAAATACCAGCGGTCGGCAGGCAGGCAGCTGGGTTAAAATTAGAGTCAACTCGAACCAGGACAGAATGCAGTATCTTCCAACAGCTGTTCCCACTCACACAGCCCAGAAGAGAAGCGACTGAGTGAAAAAACAGAGATAAATAGTTAGAAAAAGAAAAGAGTGTAAGCAAATAAGCAAAACACTGGGTGAGAGAAATAAGGACACCCACCCAATTATACACTTGGAAAAGAGAAGGGAGTTCTTCCCAGTATCCTGGCCCACAATTCCCCAGATAAAATCGGTCATTCACTTTGTGGCTGTTTGTGGGATGTTGCTGTGTGCAAATTGGACTGTTGTGTTCAACTATAAAATACACATATAAAAGTCACTACACTTTACAGTAAATCCTGTAACACAACCATAAGGCTCCAAATCAATTGCAAGTATTCATAGAATCATAGAATCATAGAACTGTACAGCACAAAAAGAGGCCATTTGGCCCATCGAGTTTGTGTCGGCTCTTTGAATAGAGCAATGTAATGTCAGTCCCACTCCCCGGCCCTTTCCCCATAACCTGCAAACTCGTCCTCCTCAAATACCGTCCACCGCGTTTTTAAAAGTAGTTATTGAATCGGCTTCAACCGCCCTTTCAGACAATGCGTTCCAGATTCGAACAACTCGCTGTGAAAAAAATTCTTCTCACCTCCCCTCGTCTTCTTTTAGAGACTATTTTGAATCTGTGACCTCGAGTCACCGACACACACACCAATGGGAACAGTTTTTCCCTTTCTAACCTATCAAATCCCTCATGATTTTGAAGACCTCTATCAGGTCTCCTCGTAACCTTCTCTGCTCCAATGAGAATAATTCCGGCCTCTTCAGCCTTTCCTCATCATCACGGTCCCTCATTCCTGGTACCATCCTCGTAAATCTCCTCTGCACCCTTTCCAATGCCTTAACATCCTTCCTATAGTCTGGTGCCCAGAACTGGGGCAGTATTCTAACTGAGGCCTCACCAGTGTTTTATATGGGTTAATCATAACCTCCTGACTCTTGTACTCTATGCCCCTGTTTATAAAGCCCAGTATCCCATATGCCCCTTTTACAGCTTTATCTACCTGTCCTGCCACCTTCAAGGATTCATTTACCTGCACCCCCAGGTCTCTCTGTTCCTTCACCCCCCTTAAGATTGATGTCTGCATCTGTCTGAGATCTGCTTGCAGATCTGCTCATCTATTTCCTTCCCACTATTTGGTGGTCTATAGTATACCCCTACCAGCGTAACAGCTCATTTTTTGTTCCTTAACTCTAACCAGATAGATTCTGTTTTGGGGCCTTCCTGCACCTCGACCCTATCCACGGCTATAACGTATCCTTGATTAACATTGCCACACCCCCTCCTTTTTCTCCTTCCCTATCCCTCCTGAATACATTATAGCCAGGAATATTCAGCTCCCATTCCTGTCCTTGTATTATAATTATTATATAGAAAAACATTCAGAGAGACACACACACTTAGAAACTTTCAAAGAGAATGGCAATACATTAATTTACTTTGCCATTAATGTCTATTGACAATAATAACATTCTAAATTCATATACACTCGAGGAAAAATAATATTGAGGAATATAGGAAAAGAGCAGAGGAAAAGATTAGAGCGCCCCAGAAGGGGAGCATTCAGCACAGAAATGGGTGGAATTGAGAGGAATGATTTAGGAACTGGAGGTAAAACAACAAACAAAAGGATTTTTTTAGGAACAATTAGGAGAGTGTAAATTATGGATAAACTTTGTGGTGGTAGAACTCTTGTGATCAGTAATCAAATGGGAATGTCGGAAAACAGATGGAGAAGACAGTAATAATAATAGTAACAATGATTATCCTTGCATTTTATAAGTGCATACAAAAACCTAGCAATTTAAGTTTTCACTGAGGAAAATAATACTTTTGGAGGCATCAGAGGTACAGATGGAGAACCAGCAGCCTGGCGCACTCAGGGGCTCTCTCTGCTCCTGGCTAGTTTATAAATCGATTCAATAAGGCAGACATTAATAGGCTGTTCTTACTTGTTGGTGGAGGATAACTGTGAACCAGTGGCAGATCTAAAAGAAGTTTAGCAGGAACTTCTTTACACTTCCTTTAGCAGGGCAGTGAGAATATCTGGAAGTTGTGGTTGAAACAGAAAACATCCATTTATTTAAGAGGAAACTTGATGCATACGTGAGAGAAGGTCGAGGGGTATGGGAGAGGGAATAATAAAAATAAATAATAATCCTTGCATTTGATATAGTGCTTTTCACATCTTCTCAACGTCCCAAAGCGCTTCACAGAATATACTGTAAAGCGAATTGACTGTATATTTGTGGGTAAACGAGGTCCCACAAACAGTCATGGATTGAAAATGACCAATTTATTATTGTTATTGTTTTTTTGGAGGGATTATTATTAGGCGTGTAGAGTAAGGAAACTTACCCAAGGTTTCGCCCTGCCTGGAATTGAACCCAGGTGTCTCGCTTGCAAGGTGAGGGCTGGTGTAAATACTGCCCAAACACTGGCCTGTTTCCAGGTAACTCTATCTTATGTAAATCAATTCAGTGTTGTGAAGCAATTTAAAACATTTGTTTCAAGTGAGAACTGAACATTTTTATTGGTAAAGTGTTACGAGACGCTACACTGCATGAAGGTGCTATCTAAATGCAAGTAGTTGTTGTTGTTGCTTTGATGAGTGGGCAAAGGTAGATATCTGAATGTTCCCAGCTGAGCTGCAATACCACAGTAAGTGCATCAGAGGGAGACATTCACCTTGATTAATTATGATATTCATCAAAATGGGGAAAATTCACAGTGACAACGCCCTCCAACCATTATCATAGCTGCAATGTCAAATCAATTGATCCGTTTTGTTATTTTGGAGTCCTGTAGCTCAGTGGTTAGAGCACTCGCTTTGCAAGTGAGAGACCTGAGTTCAATTCCAGGCAGAGGGCGAAACCTTGGGCAAGTTTCCTTACTCCACACAGAGCCTAATAATAGTCCCTCCAAAACAAAAACAATAATAAATTGGTCATTTTCAATCTACGACTGTTTGTGGGACATTGCTGTGCGCAATTGGCTGCCGCGTTCGCCCACAAAATATACAGTCAATTCACTTTACAGTCTATTCTGTGAAGCGCTTTGGGACGTCCTCCCGACGTGAAAAGCGCTATATCAAATGCAAGGATTATTATTATTATTATTTTAATCAGAATGGCAACTGGGGGCTGTTGGGGACTTGCACAGAAAACCATAGGAAGATAAAGATTTTCCTGACTGTTGATCAAAGTGAATTTCCATTCCAGGAGAACAGAGTGTCTCCAATACCCAGGTTCCCATCTCCCACTCGGACTGTGTGTGACACTGAATGTACCTCACAATCAAAATGACCAGAGTTCATTCTGGCCGTTCCAAAAACGATTTTGGACACTCAATCCACGACTGTTTGTGGGACGCTGCTGTACACAATTGGCTGCCGCATTTCACCCACAAAATACAGTCATTCACTTTACAATATATTCGGTGAAGCTCTTTGAGACGTCTCAACAATGTGATGAGGTGCTATATCAAACATATGGATTATTATTTTAGTTCAGGTCGGACTGGCTGCAGAAATGGTACCAGAGACAAACAAACTATTCAAATAAAAATGGATTCTATCTATGTTGGTCAAGATAAGCAGTGGAAGGATGCACTCTGATTCTCAAATGGTCTTTCCTCAACCCAGATCTTCCTTCTTATGATATAAACTTAGTTCAGTTGGTTCTGGGCAGAAGATGATGGGCTAAAGACCTTTGAGCTCCGAGCATTGGCTTCTGAGACCCAACTCCACATGAATGGCTCTTTGTAGATGGAAGTTGTTGTTTTTATTGTGAAACCAATGCTGGGGGTGTGCTGCATTGTGAAGGGTGACATCCTTCAAATGAATGTGCAGTAGGGTAACTGTTGGGAGTTTATTCAGCTAAAACCACATAGCTTGTCATCGACAGCACTGTCTGGCTTCCCACTGGTTATACAATTACCCTGCTGGTTAGGGCATGTAGAGAACTGAGTGGGAAGAAATAGTTTCAGTCCCAAATCCTGCCTATGAGCCAGGCTGGGCTGGTCTGTCATCGGTTGCCCTTGAGGACTATAAACCCATTTGGCTCAGGAAGCAGACTGCCCTACAGATGAGATGTTAAACTGAGGCCCTGTCTGTCTGTCTGTTCAGATGGATGTTAAAGATACTGCAAACCTATGGAAAGAAAAGGAACTTTCTTACGGTATCCTTCAGATGAATTGATCATTGTGTCAGCCTGGCTCTCGCCTGTGACTCAGAAGATTGTGGGTTTGTCAGGACTTGGAATCCTGTAGTCTAAGATGACCCTTGATTGCAGTGCAGTGGGGAGGTGTTGCATTGTCAGAGATGCTGACCTTCAGATGAGACGTTAAACTGAGGTCCTGTTTATTATTATTCACTTTATGGCTGTTTTATAACACTGAGTAAGGTAGAGGTATCAGATTTGACATCAGTTTGACCCACAAATATACGGTCAAGTCACTTTACAGTATATTCTGTGAAGCACTTTGAGACGGCTAGAAGATGTGAAAAGCGCTATATCAAATGCAAAGATTATTATATAATTACTTGTAAAGAGATTTGACACATTTCAGCATATTAGGTGCATTACAACTCACCAGAACGGATTGTACAGGATTGAAAAAGCCCATTGAAGTCCATCTGGCTGGTTCAAATATCAATAAACAATCATACAGACAAACGGAAACCAGGCATATTTGTAACTCTCAGTAGTTTGTCGTTGTCCGTTTCCCCTCCCCCCCCATTTGTGGAGTCCTGTAGCTCAGTGGTTAGAGCACTCGCTTTGCAAGCGAGACACCTGTGTTCAATTCCAGGCAGAGGGCGAAACCTTGGGCAAGTTTCCTTACTCCACACAGAGCCTAATAATAATCCCTCCAAAACAAAACAATAATAAATTGGTCATTTTTAATCTACGACTGTTTGTGGGACATTGCTGTGCGCAATTGGCTGCTGCGTTCG